CCCGACCAGACAGAATCATGTAACAGCTTAAACTTTGCTCCAATAACTGCAGCATTTCCAAACCCCATACTTTTCTCTTCATACCTTTCAGCTCAAGAGTCAATAAGTCGTTAGGTTTCCCAAAGAGAGAACACACAGGAGGAGCTAGGTCAGATCAACTTGACACAGAGTTTAACGAAGCTATACGCCCTTCCCTTCTGCGCCACCGATTGGCCCCAGGCCGTTTAGATTGCGCAGAGGCGAGCTGAACTGCAATTCTTCTACTGTTACAGCTCTGAGGCCATTAGAAAAAGAGAAAGAAAAACTGTGGCGCCTCACTTTCTGGTTCCCTTGGTTCATGAAATATTCACCTGTTACTGACGACACGCTGGCCAGGCTCGGAGAGGTTATCCACTCGGAGGCTGAGAGGGCCACGCGGTCACCCAGCCTCAATTAATCTCAGTCAGAGCCGGGACAATGTGACCTGTACCTGTCCCTGCTGATGGGGCATGAGGGAGAAAAAGATTGGACTCACGTGAGGGGAGACCAACAAATTGCATTGGAGCAACTTGTTCTCATGCAATAACATCTAAGTGTTTTGCTCATAGATTCAGTGGGTAAAATGACTTTGAAAATGTATGAACACAAATCAGTTACAAATATACAAAGGCATGAAAAAGTGAAAGTAAAAGTTTACAAACCGTTTTTTTGTGATAATTGTTTCTTCGATGAGTAAAAATGTATACATGATATACTCTATTTGGAAGAACTATTTCATTTATATTTATATTTTAACCCTTTAAGCGCCAAAGTCGCAATATTGCGACAAGCAACATTGCTCACTTAAACAGGCTGTATGTAAAAATGTGGTGCAGAATCTTGTTAATACTTTTCACCAGGGGTTAGTGGACATGTGTGCCTGTAATATGAGCAGCATTTGTGGGTGTGGTTATATTGAAAGTTTTTGAGTAAATTGAGTTCGTAAAACACCTGCGGCGCTGCAGCGCGGAGGCGAAGCAGCAGCGGTAGAGCTGAGAGGAGCGAGAGCAGAGCAGAGGGAGAGAGTGTTTTTTATTTTACTCACGAGGTCTTCAGTACCAGAGAAGTACTTGGTCTGGTACTGGCTCACTCAGATTCAGAGGAGGAAGACACACAGGTGTCCAGTGAAGCAGACACGGACATTATTGGTGACGGGGAGACCGCGCTCCATAGTCCACAATCAGCCCCAGTACAGCGGCTGCTTGTCCTCCGTGTGGCCGCGGTAGAAGCATTCTGTGAACGCCAAGCAGGGGCCGTGGTGGAGGGGACAGGGGGATCATAACACCGGGCATGTGGGAGAAAGTAGCGGGGGTAGACATCCACGGGGAACACGGGAGACGCGGGAGAAGTCGCGGGAGAGCCGCGGGAAAAAAACACATCGCTAATCGCGTTCACTGCCTTTACCAACAGCGATGATGAGGATGAAGGCAGTTCTTGAGAGAAAATAATCCACAAAAGTGGATCAGAAGTGTTGAAGAGCCTGTTGTATGTTGTTGAGACGATCTGACAAGTTCTGACCCATTCATTTCATCTCTCTGTTTCTAAACGGTAAATCCTGGAGCCTCATTTCCACTGAGAAAAATAGTAAGCCCACTACTTCTCTGAAAGGGAAATATTGAAACCAATCTCAAGATTTCATGACTGTAAACTATAAAGAGTGCTGTCTTGATCACTGAAGGTCTTTGAAAATAATACAATTCCATATGGCCGCGAACCAGTGCTAAAACATTATCTATAATCTGGATCAGGGAATTTATTTCTATCCCAAATTCATTTCATACTAAAGATATTTCACATTGACTGTTTATAGTATTCCCTGATCTCAAATAACTCCCAAGCTACAGCTTTTTGAAGTCTTTATACAATAATTAACATTTTCCAAAATGGCCGCCACCTTGATGACGTCACAATATGCAAATTAGATGACGAATCAACTTCCATCCCAAAGTTTGGTTCAAACTGAAGATATTTCTAATTTACAGTATGCCTTTATCTCAAACCATTTTAAAGTTATAGCCTTTTGAAATCTTGAAATCAAAATTGTATATTTTCTTGAAAAAACTCTGGCGCCTAAAGGGTTAAGATAAGTATTTTATCTTGGATAAATGTCTACTCATTTCACTTTACATTACCAGTAAAGCCGCGATTCGATTATCGGTATGCATTTGCAGAGTATCAATATCAATTTTGAAAAAAAAATAAAAATAAATGATGATTGGCATATTGTATATTTCTGACCAATATATCGATAATCGTCAATCAATCAATATCGTGATATAGACATTGTGATATTGTTATCGTGATAATATCGTTATCGTGATAATATCGTTATTGTGATAATATCGTTATCGTGATAATATCGTTATCGTGATAATATCGTTATTGTGAGCTTTGTATCGTGTATCGTACCGTATAGTGAGGTACCCTTAGGTTCCAACCCCCAATTACCAGTAGTCTTTTCATTAGACTCTAGTTTGGTCACCTCCTATAAAGGAATAGATATGGATACACACAAGTGTACAATTAGCTGAGCCTTTTGTACATTAGACACGAACACAAACAGACAAATACAATACCCCTGTTGGCAAGGTAAGAGGCACTTAACCAACCATGCAGCAGTATTTCTGTAGTATGATATTATCGTGTGTGGTGGTGACCTGCATCTTTTCATGGTCATTATGGGGCGTCTAATGCAGTGTTTTTCAACCTTTTTTGAGCCAAGGCACACTTTTTTCACTGAAAAAATCTTGCGGCACACCTCCAGGAGAAAATGTAAAAATGTATACAGTACTAATGTAAAAAAATATATACTGTACATACTCTGTGTGATATATAAAGTATATCTTATCTTATAATGTATACAGTATACTCTGTAGCCTATATTCACAATATACAGTTATTCTCATCAAAATGCTTAAGTCCAGGCCTTGAAATTAAGCTTTATTTAATATTTCTCGATACAATTAACAAGAGTTTGGGAATAAAGTGGCACTAACTGTGTGGAAAAAAACTAAGAAAATCCACTCTCTGCCCAAATAGTCAAATAATAACTCACACAAAGAACATGCATTGTTAGTGCATGGGAAACATTTTGGTATCCGAGCTTTAAATTCAGGAGTTTTGGATGAGGGACACGGGAGGTCCTGAACGCGAGTCCATGGTTCTGTCCGGTCCGCATGTCTGTGGTTCTGTCCACTCGACTACGGTCTGCGCTCGGTACCCAGTTCAGAAGTGCGTTCGCGAGAGCTGTTGTACAAAAATCGTACATTTCATAGTTAAACCACTACAACGCGGCCACAGCTGCCCCGGGGCAGAGCGGAGGATGTTAATCCTGTTCAGAAAACGGCATAATTGATTTTCAAAAACGTCTCTATCACTTTCACTTCTCACTCGCCACAAAGCTCTTGTCTCGCTCCCTCACACATTTGTTGGTCGCATCCAATTTTACCTTTCTCGCCACAATGCTGACCTGTTACAGCCAGTGGTCGCATCCAATTTTTCAGTTTCAAAGTACTTAGCTATCTGCTGCCATCTACTGATTTGAAAAAGTATTACATGGTTACTCACAGTTCAAAACAAGTCACCGCTCGTCAACAGCGAATGCAGCTATTTTTAGACAAAGTAGACGAATTTCTCACGGCACACCAGACAATATCATACGGCACACTAGTGTGCCGCGGCACAGTGGTTGAAAAACACTGGTCTAATGGGAGTGGGTGTATCTTGGACTGACTGTCATTGCACTATTGATTTATAGAAATCCTATAGGAGGCGGTGCAGAACTGGAGGGCTGAGGCGAGAGTAGTTGAAGAGAACAAGTGTGTGCAGACATTCGCAGATGGTTTGGAGAGGAATCAACAACAGCGGGGCCCTAGGGACAATTTAGATTCATTTGTTTGTCTTACCTTGAGATTCTATTTGAAATGCAAAACGGTTTTCGTTTTTTGCCATCATAAGTGATACAATAGTCACAGTAATTGTCGGCAATACACTGGCATTGTTTAACAAAAACACTTCCTTATTTAAAGCTGAAGAGTAGTTACACACATGTTAGAACCTTAGAAGTAAAACAGGGCGTTTTGTTTGGAACCCCAACGACTTGTTGCTTTGGACGAAAAATGTTCCTACTATGGCAATATAATGTATTTCATTACAGGTTTTTTATTATGAGTAGTATTTTCTTTCCACAGATCTGCAACTTATCCTGGTGCTGTCAAAGTTCAAGAAGAATATTGATGTAAGCATGTTGGTAGATAAATACGGAAGGGTGAGACAGAATTTCCAAGACAAGAATAAACACTAGGTTGGGTCCAAGTAAACTGGACAACAATGAGATTTTCTTGTAATATCTAGAGTGAAGAAGTTTTAAAGGAGTCAATTTAAATGTTGCGTTGTATCATCAGCAAAAAGTATTTTATTATAGTCACATTTTTGACCCAACAATGTAAGCGTTTTACTCCCCTGTGATTGCAGCACAGCTTTTGTGTACAACAGCTTCTCAGACATCTACGACTCGGCACATTTATCAATCCCATTTTTAACCAAAACCCAAATGTAAAACTGAAATCATATTTGACTTGTGGGAGCAATCTTGTGTTATTTTAAAACTGTGAGATCTTTTGGCATTATTTCTAGTCATTTGGAAACGTTGTCAATTGCTCTTACTCTGAAAGTAACATGAAGCGATTACCCACAACACTGATTTGTTCATATATTTCGTTTAAAAGCCTTTGCAAAATTGTCCATTAGGAAGTTATGAACTGCTCATTCACTCGAGTTATTTACTGGTACTGAGAAGAAAGTAGCTTGCACACATTGTTCTTCTTAATTGCACTGTACTGTAGCACAGACAATACATCAGATTAGCAGCAGTGCCCCGTTAGCCAAGTCTCCTGTCAGTGTGTGCTTATCAGCTGAGTGGAACAAAGCTCAAATCGCCCGATGATTTCACAAGCTGTAAATCTTCCTTCAAAGCGGCCGCGATGGGCCTCTGCGCGCCCATAAGCTCCTCCGCACTGTCATTACAGAATCCCGCTAAGCATCGCGCCAACACGAATAAACAAGATCAAGAACCAGGTCAATGAATTAAGCGAAGGACCCGTCACGACTTCGCTGCCTCAAGGCATCTGTAAAGAGATGAGCAGCCCCCCCAGGACCCCTATGTGCCATAGTAACACACACACACATGTCTGCAAGAAATCATGTTATCTATAAAAAGACAACAGCAGTACCCCCGGGACCAGCTGGAGATTGGGAAGGAGAAACAGAGGACGTCTTGCGCGTAATGATGCATCTGGATGTGTAGTATATAGGAATGATTTTACTGTATTGCAGATGTAACAGACCTGTATATTCTCATTTTTAGTTACTTGTTTTTTTGTCCGCATGGCCTAATAGCTATTCTATTCTCCACCAGTAGATTACTATTGCCTCTTTGACATGTTTGACATAATTGTATTTCTATTTTTCCCCAATGTTACGACCCCGCTCAGCTAGGTGTGAGGAAGTAACAAAATAACCAAGATGTTAAATGGTAACTAAAATCATAATTTATTATAATTACAAAGTAGGAAAACTGGTAACAAAATAGAATTAAATATCTACGTAACACACAGTAAATAAATAAGCTATTAAACAGTAAGCAATTGACAAAACCAAATGTGTAACCTAAACAAGTCACCGAAGTAAGGTACCGGCACAAGTCACAGAACACAGACAAAACTAATGGCGAACTGGAGTCCACTGACTCCAGCTGCCCCGAGCCGTGGAAGAGGGCAGTTTATAAGGGCGGGTCCTCCAGGTGAGCGCACGCTGATTGGAGGCCTGCCTCCAATCAGCGAATAATGTAATTATTCTATTTATTATTATTAGTGTGGGTTGATACATTTTTTATTGGCCTGAGGGCGGCACGGTAGCTGAGTGGATAGCACTCTTGCCTCTCAGCAAGAAGGTTCTGGGTTCAAATCCCTGTCGGAACAGGGCCTTTCTGAGTGGAATTTGCATGTTCTCCCCGTGTCTGCGTAGGTTTCCTCCAGGTACTCCGGTTTCCGCTGCCACTAAAAAACATGTGCAATAGTTCAGGGTGAATGAGTGTGTGTTTGTGAGCGCGAATGTGGGACAACGGATGCAAATTAGCCCATGGCTACAATCTGGAGTGATGTGTTCATTAACATGTACTGTCCCAACCAAATAAACAATAAATAAATAAATAATAAATCAATGCGTCTGTATATTTGGTTTCAGAAAATTCTTCCCAAAAAAAATCCAAAGGTCCAAGCTTAAACTAAAAAAATTACATATAAAGTACTTTAAATAAACTTTCCAAAAAAATAAAACACTGAATTTTTTTTTTTTCCTCTACCCAAAATGAGTTTGACCCCAATGATTTGCTGACGTAATTCCCTTTACAAGTATCACATAAACTTGCCTTATAGGATAAATAATTGCTAAATATGTACTGTACTATCCTACTATCAAAAATGGAAAAAAATATCAGACCTCAACTTGTTATATGCTTATTCCCCTCCATGTCCCCTCATTAATTCAACATTATGAAAAAGGCACATGACTTGACAGTCAACGCAGACAAAAGGAGAGACCAAAAGCGCGAAGAAACCGGGACCAACCAGAGACAGGGTCAGAAACATAAGCGTCCCACTGTTTAATGATGTATCCTGATGCGCAGAACAGCGTCCCGGAGAGAAGACACACACATGCAAATGCCGAATGCTACTTTGACGGAAGCTCTGAACCTCAAAATGCCACTTCGCTAATGGCAAGTGCCCAAGAAGCGTGGCACGTAATGACCAGGAATCCTTCAGAAGTGGCAGTCCGTGCTCTGGCTCATTATGTTCTGTCTTGGTGTTCAAACTTGTGCGACTAATGGAGCGTGCGCAGCGGGTACTGTGCCACCCGCCGAGGGCCAGAATGGTGTGTGTGGAGGGGCACTGGACAAGCCCTCGTCTGCTATTATCGCCCTAGCAGAATGAGCGGGAGAGTGAGGCCAACCAAATGAGTTGGTCAAGATGGTTGAGATAAGTTCAAGCTTTTTATCATTATTAAATACGATATAATGATACTATTCCCCATTTGTCATTGACATTTGTATTAAAGAATGAATAATAATAATATATGATTAAGTGGAAACTGTTTTTCTAATAATGTATAATATAATAAACAGTCTCAACATGTAATTCCCTCGTCTACCACCGGAGGGAGGTCCGAAATTTTAGGAAAGAACCGCTCTCTCCACTTTTTGAACAAAACTCTCTGGTCTTATTTGACGAGCACGTATCACCAGAATGATTGACAGTTGGGAGGACCAAGTCTTGATGATCCACCTGGAAGGAATCCTCCTTTGTACCTTTAAGTACTGCAAATACAGCCATACCAATCTACAAAACAACTAAAATTGTGATGTAGGATGTATAGGGTAATAATCTGTACCAGGTTCAATGTGGAATGAGCTAAAGACAACTCCAAATGTGTTTTTATCTTTAGGGAACAATAGTTAAAAACTCAACACAATTTCTTTTAGGTCAATGATATTAATTTAAAACAGGTATTCTAAAGCAATGCAGACTAGTAGCTGTGAGCCATGCTATATAGTTACAGTATTCTGGTATACCGATGATGGGTTTATATTGTGAAATAAGGAATGTGCACAGTTGTCAGGGGATTCAGTATATTCTGGTCTCGTCAATGTGACTCAAACGCCAACACTGGAAGCTGTACATTTGGGGCTCTTCATGATCGGGCGCCTGAATACATCAAAGGCCATATATCTCCAACAGGAGCCTGAGGTCCTCCACTCAGAACCTGCTGATGGTCCCCCGCACTTTTATTATAACCCGAGGAGACAGATCCTTCCAGGCAGTTGCTCCTCACCTTTGGAATGAGCTTCCCCAGTTTCTGTGTATGTTTGAGTCTGTTGATGATTTATAGTACATAGGCCTCTGTGAGCTGTGTTCATGATGAGGACAGCCTTCTTTATCTTTGTTTTTAAATCTGACTTGTATCATTTTTATCTGTAGGTTTTTAAATGTGAAGCGCTTTGTGATACTGGTCTATGAAAGGCGCTATACAAATAACCTTTACTTACTTACAAAACCGAATAGAAGCGATAACATGTGAATGCATAAAGCAGAACTTGTTACTTGTAACTTCTATAGTCCCAAACATTTGAAATCCAAGTAAACAGTAAGAATTGTCGCCTGTATTTTTAAATGAAATGTTCTCCTTTATATAGTAATGACCATGTTAGACTGTACTGTCCAGGTACAATAGTTAACAATAAAAATTACACAACAATTCATGCAAGTCTCCCGGTCGATAACATTCTGAGGCCTAGATGCTGGCAAATGGCAATTCAAACCAATTCAGAAACAGAAAACTTTGTTCATTTTACTTAGAGTTTGAGTACCTCACAAGTTTTTATTTTGTTTGTCTTGTTTAAGTATCATGTTGTAAACAAAAAGAGACCACCACATACTGAGAGCTGCTTTTCTGTCTGAAAAAGCTGATTAAAGATGTTTTTGGAACCAAACAAGATAAGATAAGATGGATACTTGATCAGCCATGGTAGAAATTCAGATGTCCAGCAGCAGAAACACAGTACATTAATTATAACAAAAGTTTTCTTAAAACTGTTTTGAGATCTAGCAACCATTTTATACACTGTTTCAGCAGTAACAAGGTGACACAAAGATCTACGATTTCTTTTGTGATTATAGGATCATTTGTATTTAATTTTTTTGAGTAAAAAAATTACCAGCCATTGTAAAGATAACTAGAAGACGCAAACGCCTACCAAGATGAACAGGACCTTCCACTGAAAGATACGTTAAATCAAACCTGGGCCGTGACCTTACACCCATCATAAACTGAAATTATCGTTACCGTCACTTACTGTTAGAACCACACCCCCCTCTCTCCCCCTTGAACCACGGTCGCCTGCATGGCGATGTGGCTGATTTACGCCCCTTCCCCGCTATCACCGACACCGACAGCCCCTTCTCTGCTCTCATTAACTCCTTCATAATTCATCGCCAGCATAACGAACGCCAGTGTCAGCCCGTCGAGATCGGCCACGGAACTCCCAATACGATCTCCGCGGTAGACTTCATAGCCCGCAGCTAGGCCCGAGGATGAAGAAAAAAAAAAAATCTGTTTGCGTTTAATTAATACTGACCATGTAAAAGACTCGGAATGCTAATTGAGCGGCTATTTGGAAGACGGCAATAAATTATGCATGTGATCCGGCATTAGCATGGGAAAGGTGGGTTTCGGTGAGAGCTACGGGCGGTCAAAGGTTGCCAAAGTAGACCGAACAAAGTAATGGGCCTGATTTGCCCCGGGTGGATGATATCAGATTCACCTGTCAGCAGAGAGAGGTAGAAGGGGATTGCAAAATGTCTAGGAGCTGGGAGCTAGATTGTCTTTTAAGGCTAAAGTAGATTTCAGAGGAGAATTAGACGCCTTTTAATCTCCTTTTGTCAAGACTTTCACACGACTTAGCCGCAAGACAAAGGGGTTCCGGAGGAGAAAAGATTTGCCGTATTAAATTCAATAACGCTGCTTGGGAGTTTAATTATGTAGCAGCGTGGATTGGGGTGAGATGAGGGCGGTCTTGGCATGCCATGGTGGGATTTTTACATGGTACGCAAATGATTAGCCAAATGTTATAATTGGAAATGCCTTGTTAGTATCTTCAGAACTTTGTCACAATTATGTTATCATTTGCAACCACATTTATGAGGCAATAAGGCTACAACCATTAACAATGGGAGGGGGAAAATGTTTTAGTGTTATCTTCAAAGGATCTCCAAATTATAAGAGTATATTGAGCCAGGGTAAAAAGGTACAGCTCATGCAAGGTATTTAGAGGAATTTAGAGGTTTTAGAATGAGAGTGAGTGGATAGAGGATAAAGAACCTCATCCAAAATGCAGAGCTTGTCTTTTGTCAATCAAAATGACTTTGGACAATATTACAATTTCTATTCATCCACGAAAAGTCCTTACGTAAAAATGTGTAATATACAAAAATGTGATATAGTATGCAATGGATATTTTGGACCTTTAAAAATGTGTGGAGATGTTATACTTCCTTTTATATTATGGTAAAATTAGATTATATTTTAGATTTTATTTTATATAAGTATAGTATTATTGTTAATTTATCTTGTGCTGTTGGCTCCTTAGTCCTACTGTTCTGTAACTGATGATGCAAGACGGAAATTTCCCCACAGTGGGACGAATAAAAGATCTCTTAATATTAATTGTATAAATATTTTCCTTCTCAAAGTTGTTTGAGTTCCTGACTGTTTTAGAAAACTTTATTGCATTTCTCAAGACACTACTTACATTAAGAGAAAGAGAAAAACGTTTTGACTGTTAAAAATGCTGACCACACACACATTTACATAAGCCAGTCTTCCTGTTGCATTGTGATTACTCACCGGCTGCTTTAAACACAATTTGTATTCTTGTCACTTATGCAATTTACTTGCATTATTTCTTTTAGGCCATCGGGGCCACCATACTTAATCCTACATTATTGAAATACTTGGGAGAACCTTGCCCAAACACATTTAAAGCCGCTGTCTCTGCACATCTCAGATCTGCGTCATTACAGCTCCAGTAAACCCTGCAAGACTTTTTGTGCATTCCGAAACATCCGCAGAGGCTAGCATTTCCACGGATGCAGTTTCAGCAACGATTAGCCGTCTTTTTGGACCTATACCAAGACGCCCGACCGATGGGGACTGAATGGCTGCGTCGCGGGGTAATCCCGGATCATCCCGGCCCTGATTGAGGTATGAAACTGTCTATGTCGCTGCTGTCTGCTCCCCACTTCGCCCCATCCGGTTTAGCTACTCTAGACACATTAATGCCAGTCATGCACCAAAACAATCAGCACCCGCGGACATTATCCTCACCCAAAGCTGTGTAAATATGTCAGGGGTGGGCGCTGAGGGGGGCGCGCCAGCCAAAGTCACAGCAGCAGTGACGAACGTACTCCAGGCGTCGCAGAGATTTACACAAGAAAAAAGCTATTGCGAAGGAATTTTAAATGATGTGTGCTTGGGCAGTGGTATTAAAGTCTAAATTGAATGATGGTAATAGAAGAGATAGAAGAAATCCAAAATGTTAAATGTGTGTGAACGTTTTTTTGTAATTTGAGTAAATAGTTTAGCAGATGGTGGGTTTTGAGTTGTGGAAAAGTGAACCATCCAATGAAAATGCTGATTTAACTGCACATAAAATGAGAGAATGCTGGTGGATAGTCCTTCACATGCTTGTCTCTTGTGGTGTGGTTACCTTGCATAGAGATACAAACATTAAATATGCCAATCTCGCATTCATTCAGAAACCATTCAGCATCATCAGGCTTATGTGACTAAAACTAGCACCGTGCCTAACTTGCATACCATAGTAGCGTAGAAACACATAGTAGTTTAGGAACGTTCATCTAGTGTTCTAACTAGATTAAGTTATTTGGTTCTTCTATACCAGGCAAATTCAATTCAATTCAATTTATTCTTGCATAGCCCGAAATCACAACAGTAGTTTTCTCAGAGGACTTCACAAAACTAGTAATCCCCAATACAGATAAGAAATTTGTAATTGTAATGTTTTTAAGTTATAATTTAACGTAGTAATATGTAATTCAAGTAATATGTGGCTAAAATATATTGTATTCACTGTTAGCTCCAGCCAGTCTTCTGGGCAACGGAGGTTGTATGCAGATAGGACCAGGTCAGACTGCCACTGTTTCTTTGATTGATATCCTAAATATCAAAGGTGCCGCTTTAAAACTGTATATGAATGTATGTAAGGGGGCTGGGCTTGCCCGGCAAAAAGAAGTTTGAGCCTTGTCTGAGGTAGATCGGATTTTAGAACCAGAGACAGAGCAGCACATACTGCTCTGTCTTTGTTTTAGAAATCACTTCTTCTTGGAATGCAACCAAGTATAAAGAAAGCAGAAACTATGCCTTTTGTGTTTGTGATTTTGTCAGGATTGACTGTATATTACAGCACTAACAAGATTCAAACAGTTCAAACACAAAATTAACGTAGGAGGAGTCTTCCTCAGAAGCGTCCATATGTCACAGTTGTCTGGTATAGAAGAACCAAATAACTTAAGGAATACAGTATATCAAAACAATGGTAATGCAAGTTAAATCCATGCATATTTTTTCTAAACTTGAATAACACCAAAAAGTTAAATAACCCATAACTTACACCCCAATGTATGGGTCATAAAATGTCTCCATCTGCTGGATACAGGTTCAGAGTTTTAAAAGTATGTATGAAGATGTGTTTTACTTGGATGGAGCTGAAGTACCCAGTACACATAGCAGTACACATAGCTGGTTCTCTGTGTACTGGGTGCAGCTCTGACTGCCACCCCCCCAACCCAGAAATGGATTAAGGGGGAAAAAATTGATGGGTGGATGGAGCTGAAGTTGGCTGAATGATTTTTATTGTCTCTCCAGCTCCTATTTGTTCATTTTGCTCAGCCCTATGTATAAGGATACATTGTTTTATATTTGATTTTTCAACAACAAAAGCGTACATTGACTGAGAGTTGGCTGGAAAATTCTGGTCTGACTACAGTGAGCAGAGACGATGCGACAGATATGACCATTTGTGCACTATCTATCAGAAATATATTCTCTTTTGAAACAATCACTGGAGACTAATAAAAGCTAATGGGATTGTGACAGCCCATGCCCCTGCTCAGTGTGTCCTCAGTGAAAGGACACCTGGAGACAGATTAGACTGTTTTTGTTTTGGCACATGCTCCGCAGTCAGTCTGTCTGTCTGTCACTCATTGGACTGTCGCTGCTGTCACAAGCACGGGCCAGCATAGGGCGTGAGTGATGGACAGAGCAGTGGGTGGACATAAACAAAGCAACACTGGTAAAAAAAAAAAAATAACAATAAAAGAAACTGTTAAGATGTTGATTCAAATGGGAAACCATCCAAGTATTAAAGCATTTGGAAAGCCCTTGATTGACAAGTTTCGATGATTGACAAAATGAATGAAATTTTGGCTACGGTAATGGGAATGCTTTAAAATATCTTGTTCTAAAATATGATAACTCAGATAAATTATTATAAGGATTCCTAAGACAAGGCATCTGACCTAAACTGCACTCACAAGACACAAATGGAAAAACAAGAGTATACAATGTACAGTGTGTTTATCAAGGTTACAATACAACATAATTATTGACACTATTGACAAGTGCCTACAACCCTGAGGGCAAGACAGTGATGAGGGCACATTAGTTAGCACTTGTCGCTGGTTTCATTCTTTCATCATTCAAATTTTAACAATCTTTGTGGACTTATCATTCCCTTTGGTTTAAAGTTGTGTGATAGGTTTGCAGAGGGAAGTAATGAGCAGCTGATAGGAGGATAAAGGCCAGAGGCTGAGGTCCCTGCGTGGGAATGTTCTGTTACAGTCCACCCCGGAATCATGTCTTATTCATGCAGGCTGAGCCACTGCCGGTCTGCCAGCTCTGTGTCAGCCAAAAGAGAATATGTAGCACTTTGAGTAACTCATGAAGTTCACTGTATACATTACTCTTTGAAGTGCTGGGTTCTTTGACCCCCTTTGGCAGCGCCAGACCACAGCAGCACAGTTCTTTGTATGTATAAAGTCTGGATGCAAAAAGGAGAAGTTTGGGTTGGGTTCACTTGACATCTGATTGTTTTAGAAAGGAAATATTTTAATACCATAGAGAGTCCTGAAAAGAAATGATACTGTCTCACAATGACAGGCAGAAAAACATGTGATCAATATCAATCCAAGCAAAGCAAGCCTAAAAAGTTTGGGGCATGACTTTAGGTCATGAAGCAAAAATTCCAGCTGTCCAGAAGATCTTCAAAAGTATGTAAACCAACATTTTCACTTACAAATATTTTGACTTGTACACTAACCCTTGTGCCCATGTTCTACTTTGCTCCAGATCCACATCCCATCAACCCATTAGTGCTGTCACAATATTCCAACACTACAAAACAACTAAAACAAGTAAAAGTTAGAGAGAGTTACAAATGTATGACCGACTAAAAGGTTTGCTCACATTAACTGAAGTGCATCCCCAATACACTAGTCCACATAAAT